TAAGAACTATCAAAATCAATATGTTTGATGGGATAGTACGAACCTTATTAGATGTGAGACATGTCCCACAATTAAATAAAAACTTAATATCTCTGGGGGCTCTTGATTTGAATGGTTGAAAGTATATAGCAACAGATGGAGTATTCAAAGTTAGTAAGGGGTCTATGGTTATCATGAAAGGTCAGATGACTGGGAACCTATACAGGTTGATAGGGAATACAGTTACAGGTGGAGCTTCTGTAGCCATAGATGTTGAATCCAACACAGATGACATAAATCTGTGGCATATGTGTTTATGGCATATGAGTGAACGAGGTATGATGGAACTTCATAAAATAAATTTGTTAAAGGGTGTCAGAGCTTATAAACTGGATTTCTGTAAGTACTGTGTTTTCAGTAAACAGTGCAATATTATATTCAAAACTGCAATTCATACGAGTAAGGATATACTAGACTATGTACACACTGATGTATGGGGGCCTTCACGAATCAAATCCAAGGGTGGGGCAGAATACTTCATTACCTTAATTGACAATTACTCAATAAAGGTCTGAGTCTACTTCATGAAACACAAAGGTGAAGCATTCACGAAGTTTAAACAATGAAAACCAAAGGTATAAAGGAAGACATGAAATAAACTGAAATGTTTGAGATCATATAATGGAAGGGAGTACAAGTCTAGAGAATTTCAAAAATTCTGTAAATAATAAGGGATTGTACGTCACTTTACCACACTAGAAACTCCTCAGCAAAATGGTGTGGCTGAGAGGATGAATTGAAAAGAGCTCGTAGTTGAGATTGAATGCAGATTTGAAAAAAAGTTTATGGGCATAAGCAACTAACATGGCCTGTTTCATTTTTAACAGGACACCATCTACAACGATTGATTGCAAAATTCCAAAAGAGATGTAAACATGAAAGCCAGTAGATTACTCTATGCTGATGATCTTCGGATGTCCAGCCTATGTCCATGTGCAAAGTGGGAAACGTTCCAAATTAGACTCTAAGTCTAAGCAATGCATATTTATCAGTTTTGAAGGAAGTGAAGGGATTCAAGTTCTACTTCACATAAAGTGTACTTAGCATGGATGTTGTGTGTGATGAATATCATATGGTAAAGTCAATCGACATGCAAGATAACAAACTGTAAGTAGAAAGTGATGGAGAAAGATCGACAGTCCAGGTGGAGCTAGAAGAGTCTGAAATACCAGTAGAGGAAAAATCACATGGTGAACCATACAGCTTGGCAAAAGACAAAAAGAAGCATGCTCACAAAGCCCCTGTAAGATACGACTTTGAAGATATGGTAGCATTTGCTCTAACTAATGGTGCTGGGAAAATCGACTCCTTCGAAGATGCTCTAAGCGATTCACAGAGTGATAAATGGATGACAATCATGATGGAGGAGATGAAGTATCTGAAAAAGAACAAAACTTGAGATAATCCCATTATTCTCTTAATGCTTTATGTTGATGACATGCTCTTCGCTGCCAAGAATGCATGTGACATAATTTCTCTCAAGTCTATGTTAAGTTATGAGTTTGAGATGAATGATACATGGGCTGTTAAGAGGATCCTTGGTATGGAGATTCACAGAGATAGAAGTGCAGGTAAACTCTCGATAACTCAGAAAAATGTATGTTGAAAATGTGTTAGAGCGTTTTAACATGGAAAATGCCAAGTCAGTTAGCACTCAATTGGAGAGTCATTTCCAGTTATCTGAACGGCAATGTCCCACTACAGATGAGGAGATATAGCATGTGTCTTTAGTGCTTTATGTTAGCGCAGTCGGAAGCCTCATGTATGTTATGATTTGTAGTAGGGCGGATTTTATCTCATGCTGTTAGTGTTGTTAATTGATACATGAGTAATCCTAAAAGAAAATACTGGAATGTTATTAAGTGGATTTTTAGATATCTGAGCGGGACGTCAGATCTCATAATTATGTTTAACAGGAAGATAAGCTCTACATAATTGGTGGGTTATGTTGATTCCGACTATACTGATGATTTAGACAAGCGAAAGTCTACTATAGGGTATGTCTTAAAGTCTACTACAGGGTATGTCTTCACACTAGCAGGTGGACCTATTTCATGGAAGGCAATGCTTCAATCCACGATTGCCTTGTCTACGACAGAGGCAAAGTATGTGACTGAAGTTGAAGTTGCAAAGGAGGCGATTTGGTTGACTGGTTTGGCTCGTGAGTTGGGAGTGGAGCAATAAGGTACTGTATTGCATTGTGATAGTCAGAGTGACATAAATCTTGCAAAAGAATAAAGTGTCTTATACAAGGACAAAACACATTGATGTGAGATATCACAAGATCAATGAGCTTGTGTAAGAAAGAATAATTCACCTTAAAAAAATTCATACGAATGACAATCCTGCAGATATGCTTACAAAACCGGTCACCACGAAGAAGTTCAAGCTTTGTTTGGACTTGCTTAATGTCTCTCATTGTTGAGAGTGATGGAAGCATCCCACGGTAGGTGGGGGTGCAGCAGCGTACCTTTATGAAGGTATGGGGAATATAGACATCTTCAGGGTGGCTCAAAAGAATTCAAGCTAAGGTGGAGATTGTTGAGGATTGATGTCTTGTATTCTGAGGAAATATATATGCCGAGGTTCGAATATATCCGTACATGGGATTCGATATATCCGGGAGTTGATATATATATCCATACATGGGATTCGATATATTTGGGACTTAATATATATATATATATATATATATATATATATATATATATATATATACTACGTACTAGTAGTA